TGTATATATTACAAAATATAGTTTTTTTACAATGATTTAGCAAATTTTAGCATTTATCTACAATTTTGCTAAATGCAACTTTTAGCTACTAGCTTGACAATTTTAGTTTTGAGATTTAGGCAATTATAGCTTTTTGCTAAAGTTAAGCTAATTGTTGTTTCTAACATTTTGCTTAATTTAGGTTATAGCTAGGATCTTGTCAATTTTATAGCTTTTTCTTTTGGTAATTATAACAGCAATGTTGACATTTTGCTTCAACTACTCCACTTCCAGAAGTCAGCTGCTTTGTGTGCAAACAACAAGGACAGCTTTAAGGATCGGTTGGCGGATGCAGTCAGAAAATACATCCATCTGTGTGAGTCTTCCAGACACRTTTAAAAAGATAGTAAAATGGCCCAAAACTCCTGAATGCAGATTGTGCAAAGAGGAGTCTGTCTGCTGAAAAGTGTGGCGCTCTATCCATGACAGATTTGTGGCCTAACAGCGGTGCAGGTAGAGGAGACCGTGGTGGGAAGAAACCCATGCCGTGACACACTGCCTCATGACAGGTTGTGGTGTGTTTTGTGTCCTATGAAAGGTGTGTGCAAAAATGAACATCACGCAACCATATGACTGCGAGCGGGCTGTTCAGATTTAGATGTACAGTGAATCCCCGCAAAATTGTGGTTCACCGTTTGCAGATTTTTCTATGGAACCTAGCTAAAACCCCGCATTTTTGCAGAAACCAGAAATACAGTAAACACACTGTATGTATGGAACTTTTAATTTTTTCTTGTGCTTTTTTGTGAGTTTTCAAGCTGAAATATTAACAAAAATATAATTTTGTAACATAAAAATTAATGTGAATGCAGTTCAATATCAAATAAATATGGAACAGTACAGTACGTGATGTGTGTCCTGTGCCCACGCTCATCTAACTGTGCCGTTACAGTAACTGCTTCGCTCTCGTCTAAGATGCCACCCAACTGTGCTGCACCTTTTAAAGATGGTTCCAGTGAACTGAAGCACAAGGTTATTAAGACGCTCCAGGAGAAGGTCGAATTGTTGGATTTACTTTGGAAATTACAAAGTTATRCCACCGTAGCACGCCATTATGGCATCAGTGAAAGTTGCATACATACTACATATGTACTGTTGCATACATTGTTTGTGAATTGATGTATCTGCTGCTGCTGTTACACCTGAATTTTCCCTCTGCGGGACAATAAAGGCTGTTTCTATTCTATTCTAAAGCACAGTTTGCTACATAAAGAAGGACAAGGMAGCAATCAGAAATAACATTATCATCTTTTTTTTTTTTGCTGGACACTCAAACGTCATTTTGGTGAGTAACCATGCATTTTACTGCTTTTATTRAATTAACTTTAATGTATGCTGTGTATGTTATGTACTGGGAGCAAATTTGGGGTTTAATATCTTAAAATGAGCGTTTGTGGACCTTTTTTGAACCGTGTCCCTTAATTGTGTTTCGCAATTTGTGGGTCCTGTAAGAACGTAACCCCCATGAAAAGCAGGGGTTCACTGTGGTATTAAACAGCCTTAAATTAGGCTTTAATCCCTCCATGCCTCTCTCTCTCTCTCTCT